TCCATCCATCCATCCATCCATCCATCCATCCATCCATCCATCCATCCAAATGGCCTAACCTGAACATTTACTGCTTGCCAAAGCACCCAAGTGCAAGGACGTTGCATGGAAAAGTTCAATGCACAGCACCTTCCAGTGAAAAAGGATCAGGTGGCCAACGGATACTGGGCAGCCCTAAACTCATCTGACCAAGAACACCCCTGGCTTAACAAATGTCTCACAGTCTTTCCCTGCCCTTACCTTGTCATAGCGAAGAGCCTGCACAATCTGCGGAATGTAGAAGAGAATAGCATCCTGAGGGGGGTGGAGGGAAGGGAGAAGAAAGAAAAAGGAGTTAGGATTTCTTTTTTTCCAAAGTACCGACATTCTAGCTTCAAGAGCGTCTCCTTCCATCATCAACAGGCAAAGACCTGCATTTTGGACTCCATGCTGGTTGCCAAGCACCCAAATTTTCAACCTATCAATTAATCAATCAGTCGAGCAATCAATCAATCAGAATAGAACTGAAAGGGACCTTGGAGGTCTTCTAGTCCAACCCCCTGCTCAAGCAGGAGACCCCATTTCAGACAAATAGTTATCCAATCTCTTCTTTAAAAACTTCCAGTGTTGGAGAATTCACAATTTCTGGAGGCAAGGAGTTCCACTGGTCAATTGTTCTCACTGTCAGGAAATTTCTCCTTAATTCCAGGTTGCTTCCCTCCTTGCATGTATTTGGGAAAATAGGCTGACCCCCTGTTCTACGCGACAACCCCTTAGATCCGCGATGGCGAACCTATGGCATGTGTGCCAGAAGTGGCACACAGAGCCATCTCTGCCAGCACACTAGACGTCACCCCAGGTCAGGTCCACTGCGCATGCCAGCCAGCTGATTGGGTATCTGCCATGAATGCGTAGAGGGCGGGGCAAATTCAGGAGATGTGTGGGCATGTGCAGGGGGCGGGGGGGCGCGCGCACGCATTGCACTGAGTGCAGGTGTAGACGAAAAGGTTAGACATCACTGTGTTAGGCACCCAGAAATTGTCCATGGTAATCAATCACTCCGAGACAAGTATAATCTCCAACTGATCTATTAGGAACAGCTCTGGTATGTCTATGGGATTTCCCAAACCGATAGTCATTTTCAGCGTGCGTTTCACAAAACCCACCTTCTCTCCTCCCACTTCTTACCCTTCCATTAATCACGAGAACCAATTAAATGGCAGCTGGAATTTTTTTTTAATGCGACCTACGAAATAGCCTTGAACTTTCCAACTTCTCTACCCGCCCCCCCTTTTTCTTTTCCTTATAACATTCTTGGCAGCTGAATCTCAGAGCTGACACACTGCCTTAGATATGGCAATGCTGCCATGCCATGCCACGCCAAACTGAAGTTGGGAAAAATGAGGGGGGGGGGGGGGTTTATTTGGGGGCCCGGGGCTTTGGTGCTTTCGCCCACAGAGACTTTTAAGATTTTTTTTTGGGGGGGGGGGGGGAATGACTTACTTACTTACTTACTTACCGGAGGGAAAGACCGCAGCACTTTTACCCCGTACTGAGCTGTCAAAGGATGAGGGGGGTACATGCTGGAGAAATAGGAGAGGCCCGTTGGTGGGTCGGTGGGAGTCCAGCACAGGATGTGGCTGAGCTCTGGAGCGTCGGCATCGATGGTGTGCCAAGTAACAAGATACTGAAAAGCAAGGAGGAGTGAGGGGAGGACACACACACACACATACACGTGAACCCCAATAGCAATAGCACTTAAGACTTATATACCGCTTCACCAGGAGTGGGATTCAAATTTTTAACAACCGGTTCTGTGGGCGTGGCTTAGGGGGTAGGCGTGGCTTGGTGGTCATGTGACTGGGTGGACGTGGCTTGGTGGTCATGTTATTGGTTGGGCATGGCCAACTCAATATCACTCACATCGAGGCACGCCTGGCCTCGCCTGGCCTCTCGTGACTGTGGGGATGCTACAACAGTCGTTAAGTGTGAAAAATGGTCATAAGTCCCTTTTTTCAGGGCCATTGTAACTTTGAATGGTCACTCCACACAAGCAAA